AATAATTTAATTATAAACCACAAACTTCGCTAATAAATATTTGTTGATATTTATTTTCTAAAACGAATTAGTAGATTTGTTACATTTGGTAGTAGCGGATGTTTTTTTAACTCAACTTTTTTGTTAACTTTCTACTTGAACAAATCCAACCTTTGTTTTTCTTTACTTAGTTGTAGCTAAGTAAACTCAACCCAACCTAGATTTTTGTTATTCAGAACCAGCTGAATAAAAACTCCAACTTATAATATATAAATTTCGCCATTCCATCACACAATAATATTTTCTTTGTGCATAATAATTCGCAAAATGATATATTGCTAGCTTATGTTTAGATTCTTTAACTTTGGTGGTAATAATAATAATAATTCAGAAGACAACCAACCTACCTCAGACAAAGATACAATCTCTGAAAACTCTGAGTCTGACCAACTTTTTGCTGAAGCTAAATTAAGCCTATATAGAAGCCAATACGAACGTTATCTACAAGAAGCTTCATCTGAAGGAAATCCTAATTTCCAGGATTTTGAGTCTTATTGCCATTTCCTCGACTTAATCTGACTTTTAGGGAAAGAATTAAACCAAGTTCGTACTCAGGTCGCTCAAGAACTGTCTAGAAACGATTACAAGAAGTTCAATTGAGTTTAGATACATCATCACAATTAACCCCATTAGAAATCCCAAACCTATTCAAATTTACATCTGCTCAAGAAATCCTCCAGGCTTTTAATTATAATGAGGAAGAAGAGTATAACCCTGCACATATTTTTCCTGAAGAAAACTATAGTGAGAAAACTCCCAAAACCTAACTCCAATTACCACATCGTCGTGAGCTGCAGTAACCGCAACAACCATATGAAGAACCTCCAACCCTAACTTATCTTCCTACTACTCAAACCCCCATCCAAAACCTTCCACAAGTAACCTATCCACAAGGAGAAACTTTTGTTGAAAGTAGTAGAACTTCATCACAACTCACTGAACTCCAGCAATTTATTATACCTCTAAGTGACGATGACGAAGACACCATCTCAGAAGAGACCAAAGTAATAAATCTCGAACCTATCCACAAACCAGTGAATCTAGAGGAAGAAGCAGCAAGAGTACTTGTTTCTCTAGCTAATTTATTTGGAAATCTCAGACCAACTCAACCCAGAAAACTAAAAACTAAAACTTACCTGAAAACCTTCCCCAGAGAACCACTGATCTTTCACGAACTCAAGAAGAAATCGAATCCATCCATTCCTAAGACGAAGTTTTTCCAGAGATCAACTTGTCAAAAATAATCCTGAGAATAATAATAATAATATTTTAAATTTTAATAATTTATTTAATTTTGGGAATCAAGAAAATAATAACTTACCTGGCTCAACTTGTTTAATGCTGTCCCTACCCTCAAAAATCCTGAAAATATGAATTAAGATCAATTTAATATACTAGTACAAGCTTTGAACGGGCTTACTGCTCAACTGAATAATAATACACCTGCCCCTGCTCCTACATTACCTGTAACCATCCCACTTTTCTATGGCCATCTACATGAAAATGTTAATTCATAGTTCATTTCTCTTGAAAATATTTTCACCACTCGAGCTATTGTAGAAGATATAACTAGAATTCGATATGCCGCTACAGGAATAAAAGATGCTGCTGCATCATGGCAGATGAATAAACTAATAGCTGAACCTGATATCACACAAATTTGGAATGATTGGGATGCATTCAAAATCAGTGTAAAAAATTCATGTCAACTTGAAAATTATCAAATATATCTAAGAAATCAATTAAAAAGACTTAGACAAAATAGTTCTGTATGTGACTATGTCACACAATTTAGAAATTTAGTGGAACAAATAGATGGAATGAATGATCTTGACCAAGTTAGTTATTTTATTAATGGATTAAAATCTAATATAAAGATAGAAATCAAATATCGAAATCCTGATAGCTTAAATAATACAATCGATATTGTTACTTGGTACGACACAGCATTATGGAAAATAAATAAAGGGAATAATTTCAATTCATCTAGATATAATAAGGGATCTAGTAATTTTAACAATAATAATAATAATAATTATAATAATTTTAATAGAAATTGATATAATAATAATAGTGGGCCGGAACCAATGGATTTAGATTCTATGAAAACTAGTTATCAAAAGAATAAATATAGCAATAACAATAACAATAGTAATAGAAATAATAATCACTATAATAATAATAATAACAATAATGGTAATAGGTTTTATAATAACAATAGTAATAATAATCAACGATCAAGGGTGCAATATTATAATTGTAAAGAATATAGTCATTATTCTAAAAATTGTTCTTGAAGAAAAACCCAACTAAGAAATCTTGAAGAGAAAAACCTTGGTAACAATAGCTTGGAAATAAACTGAACTGAAGGAAATCAAGAACGATTACTTCGATTTAATGAAAATATCAATGATAAAAAGACATGAATTTTACTTGATAGTGATACCTCAAGAAACTTTGTCAATAAAGATTTTATACAAAGAAATCACTTCCCTACTAAAATCAATAAAACTCTAATCATCAAATTGGCAGATGGGAAAAAACAAGAAACCAACTTGAGATTGGAGATTATAGAGCTAAATATATTAAGGCTTAAGTGATTAATCTCAATCATTATGATGTTATTTTGAAAAAATAATGGCTTTTCAATACTAACCTTGATATAGATTGGAGAAACAATATTTTAACTTTTTCTTTTGGAAGAAATCGAATAACTGTACAAGTTGATGAAAGAAAAATGAAGGAACCTGAATATAATTATATATTTATTACAAGACAACAATTTACGAGAATACCTTCAAATGAAGAATTGTTTAGTTTATATTTAACTGAAGAAGAAACCTCTAATGAAAAACAACTGGCATATCCTTCTGAAGTTAAGAAACTTTTAAAAGAATTTAATGACACTTTTCCTACTACTTTGCCTAATGGATTACCTTCAGAAAGAAGATTGGATCACGCAATTGACCTTATACCTGACATGGAATCTTTATCTCGACCTGTCTATCGACTATCTCATTATGAAATGAAGAAATTAAAAGTTCAACTTTTTGACCTTTTGAAAAAAGGATTTATTCAACCTTTTGTATCTCCTTTTAGTGCCCCTGTCCTATTTGTTTATAAAAAAGAAGGAACTTTAAGACTTTGTGTTAATTATCGAGCTCTTAACAAGATAACTATCAAGAATCGCTACCCATTACCTCGAATTGAAGACTTACTAAACTGACTTGTTGGTACTAAATACTTTTCCAAATTGGATTTATACTCAGGATATCACCAAATCCGAATCAAAAAAAAAGATATCCATAAAACTACCTTTCGAACTCAATATGGTCATTATAAATTTTTAGTCTTACCTTTTGAATTAACCAATACTCCTGCAACCTTCATGACTCTAATGAATGATATTTTTCATGAATATCTTGATAAATTTGTGGTTATATTTTTGGATGATATTTTAATATACAGTAAAACAAAAGAAACATTTGCGTAAAGTATTATCAAAACTTAGAGAACATAGATTATATGCCAAATTAAAAAAGTGTGAATTATTCAAAAACAAAGTTGAATATCTTGAATATTATATATCCAATGAAGGAATTGTCATTGATGAAAGGAAAATAGAAGTAATTAAAAAATAGCTTAATCCTACCAACTTAACAAAACTTAGATCATTTTTGGAACTAGTTTCATATTACAGAAAATTTGTAAAAAATTTCTCTGCCATTACCTCCTTTTTAACTACTTTACTATAAAAGGATATACCATATGAATGGAAACCAGATCAACAGGAAGCTTTTGACAAGTTAAAAGAGAAGTTAATCTCTGCACCTTTCTTACTTATTCCAGATCAAATCAAACTTTTTACTGTGACTACTGATGCCTCCAACACTGCCATTGGAGTTATGCTGAGCTAAGACTATAGTAAAGGTGACCAACCTATTGCGTTTGAATCTAGAAAATTAAATTCTGATGAATTAAACTATGCAACCCATGAAAAGGAATTACTGACAATAGTTCATGCCATTAAACTTTGGTGTTGTTACTAGTCGACTTTTTGGGCTAATTTTATTTTTCAAAAGGCAATTTACAACTAGCAACTCGTAAACAGTTACTTTAGTTTACGAATCGAAGAGGATAATAGATAAAGAATAAAAGAAATATTAAGGTTAAATACTAAAACTAACTAAAAGACTTAAGAATTTAGGGTCACAGGATTTAAACTATTGACTAATGATTTAATTTTAAAGGTTGAGTTAAGAAATTAAGACAAAGAATTGAATATATTTAT